ATGGTTTCTGCTTCTAGCAACGTCCACGGGCGCGGGGGGCAGGGCTGGACCATGCGCGGCTGCGGCACTCGGGAAAACGGGAAAAGGAGTGCGCGGAGCGGAAGGGAAGGAGGGAGAGCGGGAGGCAGGAGAGGAGGGAGAGAGGGGAGGGGAGGGATGGAGGAGGTTAGGGATGGAGGAATGGAGAGAAGTCAGGGATGGGGGGATGGAGAGAGGTTAGGGATGGAGAGAAATTAGGGATGGAGGGAGGTTAGGGATAGGGGGAAGCTGGGGGAGGTTAGGGATGGAGGGAGGTTAGGGATGGGGGAATGGAGAGAAGTTAGGGATAAGGGGGATGAAGAGAGGTTAGGCATGGGGGGAGGTTAGGGATGAGGATGGAGAGGTTAGGGATAGTGGAATGGAGAGAGGTTAGGGATGAGGGGATGAAGAGAAGTTAGGGATGGAGAGAAGTTAAGGATGGAGAGAAATTAGGAGTAGGGGGAAGTTGAGGCAGGTTAGGGATGGAGGGATGTTAGGGATGAAGAGAGGTTAGGGATCAGGGGTTGAAGGGACAGTGATGGGGAGGATACAAGTTTAGGGATGGAGGGAGGTTGGAGGGAGGTTAGGGATGGGGGAATAGAGGGAAGTTAGGGACCAGGGGGATGAAGGGAGTGATGGGAAGGATACAAGTTTAGGGATGGGGAGGATGGAAGGAGGTTAGGGATGAGGGGCACTATGCCATGGTCAGGGTGGGAAGGAATACAATCTCCAGGGCACAGGGAGATGGAGACATCTCCTCTCATTCCACAGGCAGCAGCAGGAGGTGTGAAAATGTTGTTCCTTTGCACAGTGAAGTGGTTCCCATGGGCAGGAAATTTGCCCAGGAGAGAGGAAGAGCCAGGACAAGCAGGGCACACCCTGAGCCCAAACAGCAGAGGCACAAAATGCTGAGGGACTGGAGCTGTCAGGAGCACCAGAGGGAGATCTGTGGGAACACACTCCCAAGGAATGTGCCAGCAGGGCCAAGGAGGGGATTGTCCTCTGCTCTGCTCCACCTGGAGAGCTGGGACAGTTCTGGGCCCTCAACGTGGACAGGGAACTGTGGCAGCAAATCCAGAGGTGGTAAGAGAGTTGGAGAACCTTCCCCAGGAGAGAGTTGGGGCTGGAGAGGAGAAGGTTGTGTGGAGACCTGCCAGGAGCTGAAGGAGCTCCAGGGAAGCTGCAGAGGGACTTGGGTAGGAGCTGCAGGGACAGGACAAGGAGGAATGGGGAGAAATGGAGAGGGAAAATTAGGGGAGGTCTTAGGGAGTTTTTCCCTGGGAGGGTGGGGAGACACTGGCACAGGTTGTCCAGGGTTGAGGATGCCCCAAGGAAGTTGAGATTGCCCCAAGGGAGGCTGTGGTTGCCCCAAGGAGGTTGAGGATGCCCCAACCCCATCACTGTCCATTCCAGGTTGTCCCAAGCCTTGCCCAACCTGCTCTGGTGGAAGTTGTCCCTGCCCAGGACAGGGGGTTGGCACTGGATGATCTCCAAGCTCCATCCCAACCCCTTAACACTCCATGAGTTGAGGTAGTTCCCACTCAGAGCAGGAGCTGAGTCCTTACAACCTCCTCTGGCTCTTCCCCAACCCCTTCAAGCCACGGATTGTTCTCCTGGGAGAAGAATCACACCCTTAATTAGTCTGATAAGGAGGTACTGATTGATAGAGGCACAAAGGCTAAACGAACTTCTCTGATGCCCCCAAGGTGACCCAAAGCCTTGAGAACCTCCAGGCTCCCTAATCCCAACCCTGGGGAGGTGCAGGAGAGGCTGTTTGCAGGGAAAAGGGGTTGGAAAACCTCATCCCTCTGCATGGATCCTTTGGAGCACTGGAGAAGGAAGGGTTAAGAGTGATCC